AGAGAGAGTTAAATACGCTTTGAATTAGGGGATCAGGTTGTCCAATGGTGTAAAGGCTGGCCATAACTGCCAGTTCTTCCTTTTCGCTGCTATGAACCAAATGTAGTTCGGCATCAAACCTATATAAAGAAAGCATGCATACGCATATTAAAGCGGTTAAATTTTGGAGAGTTCTGTGCAAAAAAAACGTTAACTCTAAAAAGGTGAGCATAACATGCTACAAAACACATATACCTTTTCCCATCAATAGTATGCTCAGAGGGAAAATGCCAATGAGAATGAACTAGGTTGTAATTTACGCCATTTATTGATATTCCTCCGGCATCTCCTTGCCATTCTATCTGAAAAATTAGAAAACTTGAAACAATAACAATATATAATGATGATGGTAACATGTAAATATGTAAACAAGAGCTAGTACTGAGTTTATATACATTAAGAAAAAAGTCTATATTGACAAGTTTAGCAGGTGCGTCCTTATAAGCCATTTTCAAGTCGGGTGGTTGCATTTGTGCTTGTTTGGTGTCGATATTAAGAGGAGACTGAAGTTTTCCGATCTCACAAGTTTTCCAGTCCGCCCTAAGACTTCCCCATTTCGCTGGTTCATTTGGAGCCCCGGCTGCATACCCGAATTGCTTGTCTACGTCCGCTGTTAAATAAGTGCATGGCCGGTTGTCAGTTCCAGATTTGCATGCATGCAGCTAACAAGATGTGTATATATTGACGTATAAGAAAATGTATATTATAAAGAAGAATAAGAAAATCGTCTATATCCGGTCATTACACATTTTGATTTTTAAGACATAACTGTGTTTGGGTTTCATGTTAGACTCAGTAGACGTATATATTAATTGTACCCTCTCTCAACCCTATAATATATATAAATATATATATATATATATATATATAGATATTATATATATAAATATATATATATATATATATATATGGATAATAACTAAACGTTAAATAAAAGAGCATATATTTCTAATATATGGATAACAGACGCGATCAAACCTAGTTTCTTGGGTGTTTCAAAAGATTTTAACAAAACATTTTCTAAAAAAATCTATATACTCTACAAAATTGTCACAACATATTTGCATTTCAAGACCCTAAGAAGTCATTTCAAAGCTTTCCAAGAACTGTCAACAAGGCCTGGGGCAAGGCGACGCCATTGGTAATTAAAAAGCAGGTGATTCTTGATGATGGATCTCTGGAAGAGAAAGAACAACGTAATGTTATTCAGGTGACCGGGGTGTTCTTTTCGTTTCTTTATATCTAGCTGTCTTCTTAATTTCTAAACACACATATATACCAACTCAGGAATTTCATTTCACGTCTTTTTCATAGCATTAAAGCCATCGACACCCATTTGTTTTGACCAAATTAATGGTACGTAGTTATTGAACATTTAACTCAAATAAAACAGAATATACAACAGACCATACCCAATCTTCTCGATGCATTTACACTGCATATCGAGATGAAGGAAAACAATGAAAGGACGGCAAGTGATAAGAGATTAGGGTTTGTCATGGTGGGTTTGGATTTGAAGAGAGGGTTCATATGAATTGCGTTCGTGAATTATAAGCTTACAAGTATTTTTATATGGATCTGCGAGAATAGCGGGATCCTCTAACTGAATGAATATCCTTGCGTTCAGGTTCGAATTTTGTAAACCTTATTTTTACTATGTTTGGCAAATGATAGACAACCAAGAAAACCTCCAATCGTTGTTTTCTCTTTTCTGCCATATTTTATTTCAATTTTTTACCAAACCCAAAACAATTGGGAAGTGATTGTACACAACTATTTTTATTCATACACAACAATTTATGCTTTATGAAGTTGTATAATACAATACTTTAATGCACAAATTGTTGTGTACGAATCAGTTTCCAAAACAATTATATATATATATATATATATATGAAATATGAAAACTTTTCTGCCATATTTTATTTCAACTTTTTATAAAAAATTTTGGATGTGACCCTAACAATTTAGTCATTATCTTAAATCTCAAAAACTAACAATCGTTTATATTTGGCACTACAAGAAAAAAGGCAATTAGGGGCGACAAAAGTAGCCGGTAATTACATAACAACATCCGATTAAATATCAAAAGTAATAGTGTCGCCGGTAATAGTGTCGCTAGTAATTACATAAAACAACCAAAAAATTTTACAATTCTAACAAGTAGCAATGCGTGACAACAAGTGTAATATACAAATAAAGCTCATCCCTACATACCATCATCTCCGTTCCAATCGTTTCCTCCTTGATTATCCTGTGATTGAAAAAACGAATAAAACTCCTCCCTACATGCCGAGTCGTTGAGTATTGCCCGAAGTTTTTGCAACTACATAATAAATAACAACATATATAAACTTATAAGTTAAATTATCAAGCATACACAAAAACTACCAAGTACATTGCTATTTTTAAACTAAGACAAAAAGCCAAAGTACATTGTTATTTCTTGTACTTGGGACAAAAACCCAATTACCAAAGCTTTTAGCAAATGATCGCCACAAAACAAAAATTACCAAATCAACATGCATTTTATGATACCAAAGTAGATTGCTATTTTTAAACTAAGACAAAAAACCAAAGTACATTGCTATTTCTTGCACTTGGGACAAAAACCAAATTACCAATGCTTTTAGCAAATAATCACCACAAAACCAAAATTACCAAATCAACATGCATTTTATGATGACAAAGTACATTGCTACTTTTAAATTAAGACAAAAAACCAAAGTACATTGCTATTTCTTGCACTTGGGACAAAAACTCAATTACCAAAGCTTTTAGCAAATAATCACCACAAAACCAAAATTACCAAATCAACATGCATTTTATGATGCCAAAGTAGATTGCTATTTTTAAAATAAGACAAAAAACCAAAGTACATTGCTATTTCTTGCACTTGGGACAAAAACCTAATTACCAAAGCTTTTAGCAAATAATCGCCACAAAAAACCAAAGTAGATTGTTTTACCTGTGATGGTTGTGGTGGTGGTTGCGATGGTTGTGAAATCGGCGGGAGAGCAGAAGGTTTACGGCCGATGCCTCTGATATGGCCACGTCGCTCTCCTAATACTTTCTCAAAAGCAACTCTTTCTTGAACGGGTGTTAACTCACTTTCACCTTGGGTTTGTTCTAAGAGCTCTTCGACTAACCGATTCTGTAATTCCCAAATGTGAGTAACAATAAGTATAAATAAACACTTAATTATATGATAAAATTATAATTAAATACTTACATATTGTTGTTCCGCCTCGGTAGTAACAAATACACCATCCCTATCGGTATGAGCCTTGCGAAACGTTTCCACTCTCTTAAGGTTATGTTTAACATTAAAAACTAGATTATATTTTAAATAAATACATGTATCGTACGTTACCTTCTTATAGCAAGTATTGCTATACGAGCTCGACCCCCCACGATTCACGTTAGTTTGCATTTGACGGACTTTTTTGTTCCTGTCTGAAGCAATTCTATGTTCTTCCGCTTGGAAATACTCATTTGCTTTCTTCCGGTTATCAACATCCATACCCTCTGGAGGGTTGGCTAATGCTCTCGGGATATCATATACCCTCCGACTTCCAAAAAATATTCTTTTGCGTCCGCTTTACGGTCTCGATAACCTTTTAACAAAGCTGCTTGAAAACTCTCTGTCAACATATTAGCTTCTACATCATGGTACATCTGATCCAAATCAAACTTTGTCTACAAAAAAAAAAGTTAACCAAGTAAAAACCAGTCATAATTAACCATATAAAATATTTTTAAATAATTAATTACCCCTAAAATGTTGTATTACGGTGTCATTTATTGCAGGGGAAACTTTTTTTCAAGTTCATTTATTAAAAGGTACCATCTGCCACATTGTTTTTCCAACTTCTCGTGAAAACATGTCTTTCGGCTGTCCTACAGGATCATATGTTATATCCCTATCATAATCCATGGTAATCGATTTACCCTTATTCTGTAAGAGCGCTCTTTCAAGCTTTATATTTTTGGTTTTGCCTCAGAATTTCCTACGTACACGTTGCTCAACTACAAATATAATTAAAAATTATTAGAAACGGTATTTAATTTATAATAAGTGAATAAAAATAGTAAATAAAAATTCATAATAAGACTTACGGTCCTGCTCATGATGACCAGCACCTCTACCACCTGGGAAAGGTGGGTCCTCAGCTCCATCACCCCCGTGTCCACGACCCATAACAGCAACCATGGTATACAAAAACAAAAGCCATATTGACATCATTTTCTGAAAAATTATAAGATATACAGATACAATTTTTATTACAAATACATATTACATAGAAATAAACATTTACATAGGAATAAGCATTTCTATTTAAACTAGGAATCCAAATAAAGTTCATATTACAAACACGTATTAAATAAGAACTATTCTGATCACAATCTTCCTCATATCCTTCAGTGTCTTCTTCGGTATCATAATCAGAATCGGTCTCATCGTAATCAGTCTCACAATCAGAAACATCATTGACTCTACCAGTTGGCGGAGGAACTTCAGTTGCACTTTCTACATCAACAATGACTCTAGGAATGTTTTGCAAGTACATGCTGAAATCGATAAAAAGTGGAGCATCGGAAGAACAGATTTTTTGAAGTACATCGACATTGTCTACATTTTCATGTGAGCCATTGTCAACATTTTGGAAAGATTCATTGTAAACAAGTTGGACACAATCATCGTTCGATGATAGATCTCAAATACTTCGATGATTAACATGCTTGACAACACACCGATGGTTATTGTTTGGATCTCTGATGTAGAACACTTGTTTGGCTTGTGAATCATATATGATTTGATCATCTTTGTATACTTCGCGTCATGTGTCGATACTGGTGAAATTATCACTAGAAATAACTCCTGTTCGAGTATCAAACCACTTGCAACGAAATAGTACAGTTGAATAATCATGTGTATACCTCAACTCTACAATCTCTTCTAACTGGCCATAATATTTCTCGCTTTTCTCACCCACCACTAAAACCCTAGAGTTTTGTGTTGTGCGTTGTGCGTCACGACTAAGTACCATAAACCTAAAACCGTTGACTATGCATGCGGTGTAAGAATAAGCATTCATTTGTGGACCCATTGCAAGAGCCGACAACTCTTTGTGGAATTCTAGAGAGTTTTCTATTTTCATTTGATGAACCTAGAAAATATAAAGTAATATGTATTATGTATTCTTTAGATCAATGAAATAAATTTGTTTATTAATTTATGTTACCTTTTCACGAAACGAATTACGGAATTCTCTCTTTTCATCACTTTGGGGATGTTCGGATTATTGGTTAATATATAAGTTTTGGAACTTATTGGTTAATTTGGGGTTAGTTTGGGAACAAACTAGAAACTTTCTAGTATTCGTATATAAGTTTTTAAACAATTTTATAACATTTTTTTTTGTTTTTTTTTTCAATTATAACAATAATTTAATTTATTTTTTTTTCAATTATAGCATCCTACTTATACCAAAACCACATACTTTCACATAATACATAAGAGCATCAAATACACATACATATACCACATATACACCAAATACAAATACATTCACATACACACATAATAACATCCAACTTAGACCAAATACACATACTTTCACATATATCGATAATAACATCCTACTTATACCAAATACACAAATTTCACATTCATATACCACATATACAACAAACACACATACACACATAATAACATCCTACTTATACCAAATACACATAATTTCACATATATAGATAATAACATTATACTTCTACCAAATACTCATATACCACATATACATCAAACACACATACATTGATATATATACACCAAATTTACATAGATTCACATACAAATATCAAATATACACACATATGACAATTTTCACATAATTGATTCAACTACACATATTTTGCAATTAAACTCAAATTTCACAATAAATAGAAGTAAATAGAACCTGTGGTGGCGGAAATCAACGAAAATGGTCCATTGGTGGCGGTAGTCGTGGGTGGTGGTCGGGAACACAATCAACAAAACTGAAATTGACAATTTTTTTTTTGGAATTAACCACTACAATAAGCTTAAAATCGATGTTACAAGAGAAAAGGGACCGGAAATTGACCTGAAAATACCTCTTAGTCGTCGGAAAAAGCTCAGTGTAGCCAGAAAAATGGTCCTCACCGGAAAATACTCTCTCCTGTGGCCGATTTCACACACCGAAAACTAAGTAATGTTTCTGGTATCACTCACGAATCGATGAAGCAGTATGCAGAAGAGAAACAATAGCGAATGGAGTCAACAGAAGAGCAAAAGGAAAAAAGCGTCGATTTTTTTGGGGTTAACTGCGTCGGCCTTTAGCGGCGACACCTTTACCGGCGACTTATGGGGCTTTAGCGCCGACTTCTATCAATAGCGGCGACTCCGGGGGGGAATTATTGCCGCGTCATTTTTCTATCTTTAGCGGCGACAATTGTAGGTCTTTAGCAGCGACAGAAGTCGCCAGTTTTGCTTTTATGCGTTCCACGAG